TACGCGGGCTAGAACGAAACGCGTTTTCCAGATGAGAATATATGCTGATCGCCACGACCCCAACTAGCACGCCCGCAGATTAAAAACTGTAACGCCTGCCACATGGTATCTTTTTGGACACTCTTTCTTCTTTTTTTTTTTTTTTTTGTTTTTTTATCTTTCTCACATATCGAGGAAAGGGAAAGAGTTACAAACGTCGAGAGGTTGTGTTGAATCTACCCTCGCGCGTTCTTTAGTACGTTTCAATAGAAAATTTATCACTCTCTCACTAGAAAATTTATTTTATGTTAAATATAAGATCTTAACCGAGCTCCAGTTAAAAATAATAAATATCGAGCTTCCGGTTGCTAATTTTTTTCAATTTGAGTAAAATAATACACTGTAGTGTGTATTAAAATTTGATAAATAATATACTGTAGTGTAAACAAATCTCATCAAAATCTTTAAATAAGGCTACCTCATTCTGCAAGTTGACCAAAACCGGAGTTCAGTTTTACTATTAAAATTTAATTGTAACCACACTGAATAAATTATTACACGCTGTCATATAACAAGATGATTTTAGCCAAAACGATAAAAAAAAAAAGGCTCTTGAGATAACTCTTAAGAAGCAAAAGTATTTACTAAAGGACGCACGCTAATACGCGATAAATTTTCGCGAGATAAAACGCGGCCACGTGCCCCGACGAACAAATGATGGCCAGTCTATAAATCTGTGCCTTCAATTAGTCAGATAGTATGAAAAAAAAGATGAAGAGAGAGAAGAGAGAGAGAGAGAAAGGAGAAATAAAACGAGGCAGGGAGCGGAGCAAGGGCCATTTTAATTTCTCATTACGCGCACGGGTTATTGGCCATTTACGTAGATATTTCGCGCGATTAATTCGACGGTAGTGCGGTTTCTTCGCTGTGGTACTTTGTTCGTGCGCTAAGCATTCGTGTCGGTACTTGGATTACATAAGAAATGTGGCGCTCGTGCACGTACACGTGTACGCAATAACGGAAGCCTCACACCTATGTATAACTGCACCGCTGCGTGCTTATTCGCAAGGGTGAGAAACGGGGAAAGGGACGAGGCAGAACAGCCAGAGTCGGAGGAACTCGATATCATAAATCTTTTCGCGCAAAGGGATCGCAATTATCTCACACATTAAAAGCATCGACCCGTCGTGCCGATAAGTTTTCTCTTGCCAATTCGTATATGGATCCACGCTCGAAGATCCACGACGAATATTGATAATTAATCGGGTAACCAACGATCGATCGGAATTTTGTTTTGAATGTAATTTTGAAACAGAACCATTGCGAATCATTCGAAGCTTTCTCGTCGTATCTAAGATTCGGTGTTGCTTCCCGAAACGTTACGGTGGCTGGAACTTCTGAATTACAACTTCATCGCGTGTTAATTTTATGAGATCGCGATGGCGTTTCATGGATCTCGGCCACGAGAAATATTACGCTTTTTTCGAATGGTAATGCGTTTCGCAGGATAAACCGAGGCCCCGCGAAATAACGCGTAAGTTGGTAGTCGACGTTTCTTTCTTCCAGTCAGCTAATTAGTTTGATCACAGACCGCGGATCCACGGACCATTCTTCTGGAATCGGTTCTAATTTTATCTGCTCGGCGAATCGATTTAAGAAAAAAAAAAAAAAAAAAAAAAAGCAGAAGAAGAAAAGGAGGAATGCTAATCAATGAACGCTTATGTGCACTCGCGAGCGCGTGCATGCATGCGTGAATGCTAGGTAGGAATGACAATGAACAATAATTACCGAAGTTCAGTGCCGGTGCATCGGCGGACTTGGCGATGGAATAAATTTCAACGTCGACGGAATTATATGGGGCGAAAACACGATTCATGTCCGCAAACCGTTAATTGCTAACGAAATTGTGGACTCTATTTGCGTTAACTAACAACGTATCATCTGGAATAATATTTACTAACACAATTTTCCCCGAGGCAATAGCGCCGATCGTCGGGACGAACGATTTGCCAAATCAACGATTGCATTTCGGGCAACTAACCGAAACTAACGACTTCTTCGATTCACCTCGATTATTTCTCTCACCTTTCCGCAACGCAGACAGCAATTATCGTGGATTCGGACGCGCGTCGACATTTCGAATACTGAAAGACAAAGACAAGTAATTACGCAAGACTTTGGATTGCTATCACGCGACTCGACAGGTGGGCTAGGGACATTTAACGAAAATCGTCGACGCAACAAATCAAGGGGGGGAGAGCATTCGTACCTCGAGAAGAGGCTTTCGACGTCGAAAGTCATGCATGTTTACGAAGCGTTTCGTGATGTTCGGCAGTAAACGACACCGATGCGCACTCGCATGCCGAGGGTTTCGCGAGAGCCAGCCAACTATGCCGGAATTTCCTAACCTATGTAACGCAAATGTCCCGCGTAAGGTGCCAGGGAATCTCGGCGGTTTCACCGGGCAAATGCCCGGGAGAGCACCTGCATCTATAAAATTGAGCCATGCATTATTCATGGAGTCCTGCTTATAGCGCGCTTAGCTCAGCTGGTGTTTTGCAACGTGGAAAGAAAACGGCTAGCCACGGCCGCGAATGGATAACTAGATAAATTGATATAAGGTTTATCATGATTGGTAGACCTGTAAGGGGTAATGGGATCGAATGGCGAACAAAACGGGCAGCACACAAAGAACAAATAATCGGCGTGGAAAATCATAAATGGATTGAATTAGTGCATCGAAGTCAGACATGAGCGACGTTTGCTGAACTAGAACGATTCTGACTTGAGAGCCGATCGAATTTGTTTCAACAGCTTGTAAATATATATACGACGCCGGAACTACGTAATGGTTAAACAGAGAGAATTATTGATATATTACGTTTATCTGAAATAACCATGGAAAAAAATCTCTCTGTGAGATCTGCTGGAGAATAGATGGTGCGAATCGTGCTTCCCATGCGAATCATTTTTGTCCACGTATAAAAAGATATGGCGAAGATAGTAAGGGAATCAATACGGTTACTAAATAAACCACGAGGAACGAATATATTGTTGGTCGACGTATGAGAAAGATCTCAGCGTGCCGACATCTGTGAGCAGATTCAGGCACTCGATCCTCTTTCTTCCTTTGACTGGCAACGAAGAGTATGGACCAGTCTCGTCATCAGTGAACCAGTCCGTTTATCGGCGAATCAAGCTGGCTGGTACCAGCTTTCGAACTGAACCGGAAGATGGTTTCGTAAGAGCACGTTGTTCGCGTCAGAAATAAAAAAATCAAATTGGTTGCACTTACGTGAAAAACACCCAACGAAGGACACGTGACGACTCGTGAATTAAAAAGTTTCATAAGAATACTAAAAAAAAAAATTCACGCCTCGAATTCTCGCTTGCAATGATTCCAACTGAAGAAACGAAGGTTTAACTTGTTCAAAGTTCACCGAGCAACTGAAGATCGCAAGAGATGAGAAGAGAAACCTTGCAAGGTTGCGGCAGTCCCTCGGATTTGGGGAATCAGGGGAAAGGATGAGAGAAATAAGAGTAAACGCAGCGTGAAGCGGCCGGAACCTGTGCTCTTACCTAACCGGGGACAGACACCTTCGGGTTAAGGGGAACGGATGGCTATTATCACTTGGTTATTGCCGTCGTAAATTTTCAACTCGTTATACCGAAATTACCCCATTCGATTCTTCGCAGTCACGGCCGGCTCCAGAAAATTTCCGTAAACCTTTTTCCCGCGTTAAGAGCCGTATTTGAAAAGGGCAGGTGGTGTTCCCTGCTTCCTCGAATATACACAACTCTAATTTTGTCAAGTTCAACGGATTGTCAATAAAACGGATTGTCTCTATCTTTACGGAAAGTACTTTTAGAAGTAAAATTTGTCATTGATTAATGACAAATACTGGACAAGCGATAGATATACGATCTCTTGCATCATTGGATCGTTCAGAGTTACATTTTTCAAAGAGAAGAATTCACTTTTAGGAGAAACGTCAAAAGAGAAAAAGAAAAATATTGATCGTTCGATATGCCAGATTCTCGTGGAACTAAACGCGCGAAGGAAGATGAAAACAAGCAAACTAGTTCAACGTAGCATCGAGCGGGAAAATAAGCAATCGCGAGTTATCATGGGAATAAAAGTGGATGAGCGGGGACTCTGCCAAGCCGCGGAGCCAACGCGGGCACAGCCAACAAGAGAACTTTTATGGGGAGGTATACGCGTACGTGTGGTGAAACCAACGAGAGCTGAAAGGTCAGGGCAATAAATAACTCGGGATGTCGGTATACCTAGAAACTGGAGACATTATGCCAATCTTGGCTTGTGAACCGTACGAATGTGGTCTAGTTTTGCCTACTGTTGCATAAATCTGAAAGCAGCCGACTACCTGCCGTCCTCTCTAGAAATCTTGCTTTCTATCCGAACCTTTGATTGCACGGGAAAATCCTTGAGCCTATTTTCGACAATCGTCTCACGTATTATTCCTTTTCTGACTTTGCGAACGTAAGATCCCTGTTCTCTTTCTCTCCCTACAGTCCTGTCTTTCCTACATTCTTTTCCCTCTTTGTACCGTTTCGAGGTAGAAGAATTCTTTTGAAGTAATGCTGTACAATTCTAGAGGTCGAGGTAGCGGGCAGGGTAATTCGGATGCAAATGGAAGATTCAACATGGTTGCTTCTTGACTTCTACCGTTCTCGTGACCTTCCTAATTCTTCAGATTTATCGGCTCGGCTTTTTCGGTAATATTTTCGAGCGAACAGTTTACGAACAGCGTTTATGACGAGCAATTGGTTTTCAATTCGACTAGAACGATTATTCTATACCGCGAGAAATGTCGAATTCGCGATACAATGAACCGTAGTGTCGTATCAACGCAGGGTCATATCCAACCTCAGTCATCACGACCGCAAGCCTCCTTGTTATCACGACCACGTGAGCTTCTCGGAATCTATTTTCCGCCTACCATTTCAATTTTAAATCTAAGCAACGCGCGTTCAACATCCACATTGAAACTCCATCTTACCGAATTGACTTCTCATCCACGGGTAGAGCGGACTCGGTAGATTGGCACTGGCCGCACCTTGGGGAGCAGCCTGTTGTTGCTGACTAAGCGGCGACGTGACCACCCCTTGGTGTTGCTGAGGTTGTTGCTGCTGCTGAGGATGCATGCCGGGCTGAGATTGCTGCGACGTCGCCTGCGTCTGTTGCTGCTGCTGGTACATCATGTGCTGCTGCTGCGCCTGAAGATGCTGATGCTGCTGTTGCTGCTGCGGATGCTGCGACTGTTGCGGCTGCATGTGAGGGTGTTGCGAGTGCATTTGATGGTGCATCTGCGACTCGACAAGCGGCGGGCTGTCCGGTCCATCGAGTACGCTACCCTGATGATCGACCGCGGCCGCTTGAAGCTTGCAACTCGCATAGACAATGGGAGTGGACGGATGTCCGTTCGGGGTTGGCGTGTGTCCCATGTGGCCCATACCGGGGCTCGGGGACGTCGACCTGTAACCACCCATCCCGTCCATGCTGCCGTGCTCCTGTTGATGCTGATAATAGGTCGCGTTCCGCATGTCCATTCGATTGTACGGCGGAAACCTCGGATAAGGTATGTCTTGCTGGCTACCGGCGGCCCCATAGTGATGGCCAGGCACTCCTTGACGTAGGAGACTGGGATCGCATGGATCTCCGGCTTGCTGAGATTGCTGCTGAACCGACTGCGTTTGCTGGGGCACCTGGACGGCGGCACCGTAGTGCTGCTGATGCTGATGCGGGTGTTCCACCCCGCCATTACGCAGGTCCGGGATGTACGAATTCGCGAAGTACGAACTCATGCTACTGTCCCACCTGGCCCACCTTCTAATGCCACCTCGGTCTTGGTTGTGTTTTCTTCTTTACGTACTCTCACACTTTTCCTTAGTCTTTGATCTTTAGGGTTTTGTAGTTTAGTCTTCCTCCTCCTCTTCTTCTTCTTCTTCTTCTTCTTCTTCTTCTTCTTCTTCACCTCCTTCTTTTTCCTCTTCGTTTTTCCCTATCTTCGTATCAAGTAACAGTACGTCTTTGTCTTCACTTTTAACGGCTGTGTCTTTTTTCTTTTTTTTTCTTCTTCTTTTTATTTTCTTTGTACTCGAATACCTTGCGTATGGACACACTGGCACACGTCCTTACATATACATGAATAAATTTCTATTATTTATACATATATCACCTGCTTCGGTGCGACTCCTCCCTCCTCACACTCACTCTCTCTCGGACAACACGCGCGCGCGCAACACTCTTCCTATCACACCAACATCACCGTGAATCACTTAGCGTATCATCGAATTAATATACTCTCTTTTAATTCTCTCCGTTCTCGTTCCTTTATCCCGGTTTATCACACTGGACTCATCGGTACAGAAAGAAAAATTAGAAACTGGAGCACTACAGAACCGTGAGTTATCGAAGCTGCGGGGGTAATTTACGAGGGGGGTGGGGGGGCAGGTTTAAAACTTGTACACGAGGGGGGTAAAGATGGTAATCAGAGTTCTTCGTCGGTGTGGTACCTTCGTTCAAAACGCCAAGCCGCTCCAGACACGTTCCGTTCCTCTGTCCACCCTCCTAACGAAGTTGTGCCGCACCTGTAACATTCGAAACATAATTCAATTAATTTCACGCGCACCACGTGCAATGATAGTAAATTACAGAATACCAGAACGGCACGAAGAATGACGAGCCAACTTTTAATTTAATGACAAGATAAATTCAAATTTCGCTTCAAATGGCGCTCAAAGTAGCCTTTCGTTGTAATAGAAAAAGAAAAAGAAAAAAAAAAGGTGGGAGAAAGAAATTCAAAATTTGAAAATACCGTACTTCAAACGAGAGCTCGGCTCGTTCATCGGAGCGGTTGCTGAAACTGGCAAAAGCTCTCCGTTTGCTGATCTTTGTCCGACAAGCTGAACGAACAGAGGAGAGTTTGACTCTGAATGACAGAAGGCGAGTTACACACGTGCTCGTCACGGTGACGGCCATCGCCCAGACGCCGAACTCGCTTGGCCCTTCTGTGTGGGCGGGCTAAACGATCGTTAAATTTGGAAAAATTCCCGTCCATTAAGCAACACGGCTACTGAACGCCTCGTCGAGATTCTCCCTATGTCTACTAATTTTTTTGTTGCACTCGTCGCCGACATGGATTCCGCGCAACTCGTTAGTACGTAACTAGAACTGGTGGTCTCTTGCCTTTCGCTTTGGAAACTTCCGACTTGACAGAATTCCGGGAAACTAGAATTACATTGTGGATATAACGCAACTCGCGTGATAATTAAATTGTTCAAACAGATAATTTTGATTGTATTATTGATAATCGTTGGTAATGATTCTTCGTTTAATGATGGATTCAAAATACGCGGGGATTTCAAAAGTTACGAAGCCTCGATGGTACGTCAGTTCTTTATCGGCTGAATCTTCAACCTTCCGGACCGATCTTCCGATCAGGGCCGGAAACCTTCCATACCGACTGTACATCATTTCACTGGGCACCGTCGTGAAGCTATCTGACTGGCATATTGCTGTCTGTGTATCTATTGCCTGATACCACTTGACGTAATCCAAGTATGTCTGACAGTCATCAGCGTCTATCTACTTCCTTCAAATCTATTCGCCTGAGGTGTCTAAAGACGTTTCGCGGTGATTATAATTCAATTTTCGTTATTTATGCAAATTCAAACTTTTATCAAAGACAAATATTAAACTATTAAATCAATTTGTCTATTAATCTCCCGGTGAATGTGTGGAATAACAACTGATATGAATATCATGCTCGTGTGTCGCATGGACTCGTGACAGGTGCCTCTAGTACTGGTTCAATACTAGTAAAATATTATATACGAAACATCTTTTTATATACACTCTGCACGCTTTTGCATTTCCAAATTTTCTGTAAATATATACATAAAAAAAAAAACCGCGGTCAATTCACAAGCGTATACATTGCTTCGAATATTTCATTCGTCAAAATGTCAGTTCGTTCAAATGCGCGTTGTAGCCACGAACGATTAAACAAATAGTTCCTAGAAGCAAATTCCATAAACGAGCAAACACCAGCCACTCGCGGAACGAGTACAAATTGTTTGCAGGAGTGATAGAGAAACGAACGGTCGTCGGTGCTGTTAGTAGTAAAAGGAAGAAAAAAAAAAAAAAAAAAAAACAAATGAAAAAATAAAAAAGAGCTGCGATTCCAGACGAGAGAATAGAATGTACGGTGCGATGGCGTTGTGGGCAGCACGGTGGTCGTGTTGGTAATGGTAGAGAGCACTCGGGCGCAGGAGGCGGGGGGCGAATATACAAAGGATCGAACGATGGCAGGGGGGGAGGGTGCAAGGGTAGAGAGGGTGGCAGGTTGAAGGGTGGAGGTGGGGCCCTTGGGAGTTTGCTGTACACGGGAATGGGTCGGACGCGGGACGATCGCGATTAACATTCCGGCCGCTAGCTCGCTGTTCGCGCGGCGCTTTCATTAATTCCAGCGTATTGATTCCCCGGATTGATGAATGGCCGCCGATAGCGATTCCATGCGCTCCGTACTCGGCTAGCCGCGCGCTCCTCGCGTCGCTGCCGGCCTGAATCGCGTATAAATTCTACCTCTCGCAGGATTTTAACTCAATTCCCGCTTCACGGGCTCGCTCTTACGTATTCTTTTCCCCTAGCCGAAAACAACACACGGCTGTCCTTCTGCCGCGTCGGTTATTCCTATCTCTCTTTTCTTTTCCTTTTTTTTTTTCCTTCTTTTTCTTTTTTTTTNTTTTTTTGTTTTTCTGCCTCGTCTTCCTCTTTTCCAGCGATCGGAGGTTTACGGCTCGTTTCCATCGGAACCACGCGACGCGTAACCCTTCGCTTCCGTTCGCTATCCTCCTTTTGTTTCCTTTATATCTTCTCCCCTACTTACTTTTCTCGTCGTTTTTTATTTTTTCTTTTTTTTTTTTATTCCTCTCTTTTGACGCGAATACGTTCAAACGCAGCTTAGCAGAAAGGTTCTCCAAGTACTTTGGCCTCGATTAAATGCCATCGTTGTTACGCCGGCCGTGTAATAAACCATTTGAAATGGAAAACGTCACGCCTGGGTATTATCGGAAAGGTTTGCATTGTCTCTCCGTGAAAAAGACATTTTTTGCTCGTTCTTTTTCCATTGAAGAGCAGGGGTTCAATTACGTAGCGAAAATTCGTACTTAATGGAATACCACTTTCCGGCCAGTGAAAATAATCTGAGGAACTGGCGGAGAAATTCATCCGTGTGCTTCGGTTGGAAATGGACATCGATGGTCCGTTCGTCCGACGTCCCTAAATTTTTCAAGGACGCCGATCGAGGTCATCGGGTTTTATTCGGTGGTGACACCGACCGGAAGGGGCATAAACTAACTAGCCATTTAAAGGTCTAAGAAGGTTCATGTTATTCCCGGTAGATGGCGATGGCGATAGCCAGAAAGAGTGGAAAAAACGGGGTGGAGCGTGTCTGACAGCTGGGTGGGTTCGGGTCCAAGGTGATTGAAAACAGGGTGGAGCGTCACGTGACGCCATAGTTGGATATGGAAGTGACGTCAGGCAGCTATGATGGCCTCTAGTTAACAAAATGGCTCCTGGTTGGGGAATTTCTTTGTCCCTCTGAACGGCTGTTTACTGGCCGCTGTTATCAAGCTGTAAACGAAAGCTCGTCATCCTGCTATCTCGTACAACGATTCCTTCCAAGGCCATCAGCCACATGGTCTCGTTCCACTTTTTTCGAGAAATCAGCGGTTCCTTTTTCTTTCAAATCCTCTTTCTGTATGTACAGTACAAACAATCAATTGTTGTCTTTCACTGGTTGGAAAATAGAAATGATAATATTCCACTATTGATCCGTTCGAATAAAGCAAGCACTTGTCCGTGTCATCGACAATACGTTATAGTCGCAGAACGTTTAAATCTGTCACACCCTCTTTAACTTATTCATCATTTCACGTCGCATAATCTACGTTATAAGTTTTGCACACACTATGTATACATACGTACATCTTCTAATATCGCTATGTATACACTACTAAATCAATAGTGACCTCCTTGCTTAGACTATTTCAGTAGGTTGTACATATTGGAAATGAACATACTGTTGTAAATTAGTATGGTCAATCATTAAGTAGTAGTAGTATAGATTTATGAGATAAGTAAGTAAGTAGTGTAAATAAATAATACCTATAAGGAGGAGTATTAAATTAAGTACGAAATACAAATTCAATAAAAAGTATAAGTACCTAAACTTTTGGTCGGTACTCTCTATAAGCAGACTATATAGATCATGATCTGTATCCTCATCATCCATCCCATTTCTTCTCGTTCATAGTAGCAGGTACAAAATAAAACTGTGAAAAAACAGAGAACAAAAAAAAAAAAAAGAGATGAGAAACTCCACGTGTACGTTTCATCACAAATGAAACGTTCTCGTTCGGGCACGATACGCCGAGCGATAAACTAATGAACCCTAATCGAGCTGCGAATATACGCCAAGTAATTCGAAATTGCCACGACGAACGAATTAAAGTTTTTACGCGCTCGTTTAAACGCGGTGTGTCGTTCGATTAAAGCGGCGCGATATCGCGGTTAGCTGGAAGATCCACCGTGAACGATGGCAGGATTTGACAGTTATGGGAGCCGTAGCTCGTGCCGGTCGTTCGCACGTCGAAACAGCCGTAAACCGAACGAGCTCGTAAAACCGTAAACCTTGAACCGAAGCAGTCACCTCTTAACTCCGCTCTATTCAGGGAGAAAAAAAAAAAAAAAGGAAGGAAGAGAGAGAGCGAACATAAAATTACGACCTTGAGAGCACATTCCTGTTCCGGCCGCGTCGATCGAATCCCTGCGACCACCGTGTTTCCCGTTTTGCCCTCTCGTGCCTGGCTTTTTCTGAACTTCCGCTGCGTTCGATTCCGCTACCGATAAATATTTTGCATGCCAGAAAGGCTGCAAAATTCGCCTCGTTGAGTATATTTATGACAGAATGACCGACGCTCCGAGAAATATTTGATAATTGGAAGATCTAGCGGAGTACTCTTTTTTTTAAATTTGGATAATCTGTCTAGAGAATTTTATTATAGATCTCTAATTTTTTGTGAATTTACTATTACCATTGATTTGTTATTTTTCAACTTTGTTTTATTATTAATTTGACGTACCTTCGTACAAATTCAAGATTGGCTACATTATCTTTCCCCGAACTTATTAATCTTGAATGTTATTCGTTATACGAACAATAGACTTTGTTATTATTGTTTCGTCATATAATGAATCATTAGTAATGACGAATTTTTATTTTTTATCTTATTTGTCTTCTTCGAGAATGAATAGTCAATCGTGGAAAATTCTAACGCTCTCTGAAAAGGAAAACAGAGAAATATTGCGTATTAATTAATTGGTCACTCTACGTTACATAACGTGAGTAATGAAGATCTTTCTTACTTCAGCCACGGATAGTTTCTTCTTTTTCTTTTTTTTTAACAAGAACTATTAAAGAATAAGAAATAACGCAAACGGAATAAACAGTATCAGAGAGTGAAAACGACGAAACGCTGAATATTTATATCGATCGTAAAGTGTAGAAACATCACGCAGATAATTG